CTGTTGTACAAACAGAAGATCAAACAGGTTGTAAACACTACGAACCATCTCAATCACTTTCAGTCAAACAAGCACAAATATAGCAGGTACACTATGACAACCAAAAAACAATCTCAGATATAAAATATACTGTAGAAAGCAGCAGAGCAGTGTCGGTCATACAGAGACTGTTGTCATAGAGACTGTTGTCATAGAGACAAGACGCACATTCAGCGCTTTTATTCTCAAAGCACAAGCGCTTCATCCAAGCGCTCGCGTGTGCACAGCCAGCGTTTTTTGGCCGGTAAAAAAAAAACTCAGGTGGACACAGACCCTTCAAAACCAAGATGGCCGACGGAAGGTCACAAATGTCATGCAGTCCTGGAATATCTTACAAATCCTTCACTTCAAGAGAAAACCCCTGCAGTTCATGTTTTTTGTAACATAAAGTAAAAACTAAGGAGAAATATAGCTGTCCAAAATATTGGAGAAAATGATTATTAATCACTGAAGTGGACGTCGCGCATTATGCTGGAAATATTTCATTTACAAATAACATTAACTCTGAGTCTTGCCTGATCTTATTGACAGGAAAAACTAATTATTTTGTTTATGCATTCATTTTATTTTTTATATTTTTTGCATCGCAGCATTGCATCATATCAACTCGATTGGGAACTTCTCTAACTTCTTCAATATTATCCATGAAACTTTTTTCTAAATGAACATCACTTTGCATGTCCACATAAAAAAACCTGCTCTATTATTGAATAATTAATGCATGAAAGGGTTAACCCTTAAAAGGCATGTCGATGGCGGAGCTTTTTTAAAATGCAGAATAGCATTCATAGGCTACATGAATCCACATGTATATCTCCTCCATCTGGATTCTTACTTTTTAGCCTCTCAGTTGTTTACAAGAGCTCAGTTCAGTCTCCAGAGTGGGAGTGGGAGTGGGAGTGGGAGGGAGAAGAAGAAGCTGAGGCTGATCTCTATTGAACATATGGAATACCAATACTTCCCCACCTGTACAGAGCAGACATCTGAACACGATGAGCCACAGATTCTGCCTGAATAAATTAGATTGATGCAGGAGAGATAAACTGAGAGGACACTCGTTTACACCTGGACATTGAGCCATAAAAATGATTTTTCTATCTTCTGTAATTGCAGCTCTGCTGATCGTCTTGTTCAAAATGATCTGCACTAAATGAGCAGAAGATTGGGAGGCTGCCTGAGGACGGTGTATGATTATTCATGCAGTGAACAGGTTGTTGTGAGGTTTGAAACGTACCTGGGAAGCCCTGCAGCACTGTAATTGACAGGAATGATGTTAAAAAGGAAACTTTGCCTGAGGCAGAGACAAACTGCAAACACGAGACTAAGATTGTTATAATAAAACTAGCTGATGTGATAATTACACCAGCTAGAGTTTACAAGTTTAAAGGAACTATTCCAGATATTTGTATTAAATGTGAACAGTCAAAGACAGACTGTGGGGTTTCAAAGTGAGCACACCTCGGTCTATGTACTACAAAAGAAGTGCATATTTTTATGTCCTCTATCTGCAAAGCATTCTGGTCTATGACATCTTCCAAAAAACACAAGAAAGCACTCAGAGATATGGAAGACCTAAAAGGACATCAGTTTAAGTTTCACCAACGAAAAATATTTTGATAAATGTCCCTCAAAGAACAAAGACGTGACAATGACGAGTTTAAGAACAGATGAAAACTACTACAAAAAGTATGTTTTGTAAGGATTACATGAAAGCGTGTTTGACTGCTTAGGGCTTTTCTACAGAACCCCAGAAATGTAATACATTAGGAAGGTTTCATATGATGTTTTTGTTTGAAATAAAGTGTTTCATAAAGGCTCAATCTGCAGGCAGGACCAAACTAAAAGCTGAAGAGACCTGAGAAGAAGTAATGATTAAATAGCTGAAAGCATTTTGCAACCAGGAATTTTTAGGGCATCAAATTAGATGTGACACTTCCTGATAAAAAATTCTGTTTTATCTCGTCAGTCGCACTCTGATGGAGCGGTGACACACCCTATAGAGTGTGAAAGGATAGAGAGAGCTTAAATATTAAATATAAATGACACATTGGTACGGATGTATCTTATACTTTCTCAATCTTGGGTCTTAAATTCAGGTTTTATTTTCTTCCATATATGGTCTGACAGTTTAATTAGTGTTTTTAGATTTGACATCTGAGCACACACTTCAAAATGAATTGGTTAGTAAAAAATATTATTGAGTTATCCTCGCTAAGCTGAAGGGAAAATGTGTGATACAAAAGGAAAAAACGCTTATTATTCAAAATGCCCACAAATCCATTTAAGTGTTCTGAGGGAGCGGAGCTGCAAGGTTACACTAACACAGCGCCGGCCGTAACATCATCTTCTCGTGCTTTCATGTGAGCTAACCCCTCTGGAATAACAGTTACTCCAAACTGTTTCACATCAGCTTCCTGTTTGAAGCTGCAAGAAGGGAGCAATTAGCAGTTTCCATCCCCCTCCTCCGTCTCGTCTCTTTAACTTCACTCAGCGTTACTCACAGTTTGTCTGCCGAGACCAGCTTACTTCAAACACAGCGTTGTGAGCAGATACAGGGAAGAGGAGACGAACGGGAGGAGGGAGACGGTGATGTGGAAGATAGACTAAAGGATCAGGAGAACCGAACAGCAGAAGCACAACATTTCCATTTACTGAGTTTCTTTACAGCTGTATCTACAAGGTTGATAGATTATTAAGAAAATGAAAAAAACAAGACTTCACTCCAGCTGTGAGTATAATACCTGGAATAAAGCAAAGAAGTACAGAGGAAAATATATGAATACAAATCCAAACAATCATGAATTTAAAAAGGAGAAGACAAAGCACCTCTCTAGTCAGCTCAGAATTACAAGTCTGTGATTCATATTTGTGTTTGGGGCTTTCACATTTGCAGAAAACTCCTGAAAAACTCTGATATTTGCCCAAGGAGCAGTACAGTATGTGTGAACGCAAACAGCAGAATTTTTCACCCGGACTTCACCCAGAGTTTCTCCAGCCAGACCCCTCATATTTTTTCCCCAACTAGTCTGAATGAGCTGATGTGAGAACGCAGCAGGATATTATCCGGAGAATTCACATCGAGCCAATAAATATTCTCATTATAGCATCTCTGTTGTATAGACTCTGTTGCTTTGTCCGCTACTTCTGTGTCTTTTTTAAACTCATTATGAGACCCCACCCTCGTCGGACAGGGATAGAGGTGCATATATGAACAGCCAGGTCAGGAGAATAATCCAGAGCAGGAGTTCTTATGTGAAACAGCTCTGGTTATATGTTGTGTCTAAGCTGCAACACAGCCACCTGCCAGTAGATGGGGCTGTAGCTCCTGTTAATGGCTACTGCAATTCTGCCTGCTGCTCTACTACCCAGCTTTAAACCAGCACAGTGATCTAATGGCACCTCGTAGTGTGGAGCGGTTTGTCTGCTATGTGGATGTTTACCTGCAAGGAGGGCTTACAGTAAGGCAGTAAAAAAGGCATTACTTGTCACAATGACTTTGACTCACAACTGATGTGGAATTAGTGAGAGGTACTCACTAAAGGTTGTTGGCTGATTATTATTACTAATGTGCAGTCGCATTTGCAAGCGATACATTTGCTGTTAGCCACACTCTGCAAACCAAATTGTCTTTATTTAGCGGATGATGCTGTGCTCCCATGTAGCCGTTGTTTAATAAATTGTGCTCAATTTGATTTAAGTGTTTACTGAACTTTTAACTAGTCCACTTGACTGAATTTTAATTTTGCGCAGTGGTCACGCCACATGTATGGAGGCTATAGTCCTCAAAGCAGGAGGCCCAGGTTCAAGTCCAGCCTGTGGCTCCTTTCCCGCATGACATTCCCTACTCTCTCTCTTCCTGATTTCCAACTCTATCCACTGTCCTACCGCTTCATTAAAGGCACAAAAGCCCAAAAATAAATCTTTAAAAAAAAAAAAAAAAATTTAATTTTGTGTTTTATCGACAGGAAAATTAGTTCTTAAACTAGTAAAATATTCTGACCTCCAACTTCCCAAAGTGCATTTACATTACATGTTTCAAACATATTGAAGTCCCAACTGCTCATCATTAATTGTGTTTTCCTTCGGGAGCAACTCGAGGTTCAGTGTCTTGTGGACACTTCAACATTTAGACTGGAGGAGCTTTTTGTGATTTCATGACCGAGTGTGTCTCATATTTCCTGCTCATGCCTCAAGTCTTCTTTAGTTGTATTTAATCTGTGGCTTAAAAGTTCAGTTTTTCTGTTCGGCTGTTTAAACATTTAGCTCCGGGTTGTACTTCTGGTTGGATGTGCGTCCCTCCACACAGCAGCTTTTAGACATCTTTGTGTTGTTAGCTGGAAAACCAGAGTGACAATGAGACACCTTCAAGCGATACAAAGTGAACTCGACTTTAATGCACTTGGTCTTTATATAGTTAACAATTGATGGAGCCTTTTCAACAACCAGCAGACACACGCAACATCAACATTTAATAGGAATTGTGTTTCTGTAAACCTGATGAGTGTAGGTTATCTCCCTCTACATGTAGCTTTGCTCTATTTTAGTCTCCACCAGCTCCTCTGGGAAATATCTGCCTCTTAAGCTGCTAAATGTTCCCCTGTGTTCACCAGCTAGTCTCCACATTTGTCTCTCTGCTGTTTGCTAGTGTGCAGGTAATGTACGGCAGGTTATTAGATCTTTTCCCCAGGAAACTGATGCCTGCTCCAGCTGGAAACAAAGCAGATAGGAGAGCAAAAAATATGAGATGAAAGATATTAAGATGTCTCCATCCGAGAGGGGAACTACATCTCACATGTTTTTATTTAACACTCGTAAATACATGAATATTGATTACAGCAGGGGAACGCAGTCTGCAGTGATGAAAGATTGAATTTAATGAGATGGTTTGACGGCTTGCCTTCATCCAAACATATGATGAAGGAAGCAGGAAGGAAGCACACAGGGAGGGAGGTAAGCTGGAA